CACACCCCACACACCACAGCCCCCCTGTACACGGGCGGTGCCACACCCCACACCCCACACACCACAGCCCCCCTGTACACGGGCGGTGCCACACCACACCCCACACCCCACACACCACAGCCCCCCTGTACATGGGTGGTGCCACGCCACGCCATGGCTCTTTGATGCTTATTGTTACCTGTCATCGGCCTAGCACTCCCCCTCCACCTTACCCCCTCAAAACTGGACTAAAGACTGAGCGCAGGTGTCTCTTCCCCTGGCTCTGCTCCTCTGGGTAGGCATTTTAAGGGTCCCCTGAGGTCCCCCGTGTGGGCATCCTGGGCCTGCTCCCCCTGAGGCCTTGTCCCCAGCTTACCGGCCTTCTCTGCTCTCCCTTCCAGTGCTACAAGGAGAGTTGCTTGGAGATCCCTGGCCCTGCAGGCCCCAAGGGCTACCGTGGGCAGAAGGTAAGCTGCCAGAGGACACGGGCTGCACTTCCCAGAAGCCCCTGCCCGAGCCTCCGTCTTCCCAGAAGCCCCTGCCCGAGCCCCCGCCTTCCCAGAAGCCCCTGCCCGAGCCCCCGCCTTCCCAGAAGCCCCTGCCCGAGCCCCCGCCTTCCCAGAAGCCCCTGCCCGAGCCCGTCTCCGGCTAGCTGTACGTTGGCTGATCTCAGCACTTCCAACCCTGGAGAATCCAAAATTCAGACTTTACATACTTCTTCTCAAGTGGCATTTTGAGAATAGTAAGGACTTGTTTTAAATTATTAGGCTAGGGCTGGGAAGGTGGCTCAGTGGTAGAGCGCTTGCCTTGCATGCATGAGGTCCTGAGTTCAATTCCTCAGCACCACATAAGCAGAAAAAGCCTGAAGTGGTGCTGTGGCTCAAGTGGTAGAGCGCTAGCCTTGAGCTGAAGAGCTGAGGGACAGCGCCCAGGCCCAGAGTTCAGGCCCCACGGCCGACAAAAAAAAAAAAATTATTAGGCTACACCACTGAAAGAGTGTGGAAAGCAGAGTTGCTCCAGTGTGTCCATAAAACACCAGGTGCATTTCATAACGTAAGGCACCGCTTGGGAGCTAACTACATAGCAGGTTTTAGAGAAGCTGCGTTCTCTAAACTTTGCTACCAGACTGTGTGAGACTGTCAAAAACTACAAAGAAAGGTAGAGAAGGGGAAGGAACTGACAGAGGAAGTTACTACAAAGTAGTCTCATGCTTCTTTTCCCCAAAGAGTGCTCAGTCCGCTAGGTGTCCACATGAGCCATCTCCAGCCACCTGCCTCTCCCCACCGCCGCCCCGGCTTCCCTAGCTCTGGCTGCAGGCAGGGTCCACCCTACACAGCTGGGAATGAATCTGCCTCTTGGGGCAGCCTTGGCCAGCCACAGCAAAGCAGGTGTTGGAGGGAAGATGCCCAGGGACCCAGAGCAGGGCACAGCCCTGAGACCTGGGGATCCTCACTCTGTCCCTCCATGGCCTCCCTCCATTCTCCTCTGACCTCTTCATTCTTCCCCTCTCCTTTGTCCCTCACCTTTATTTAGCACAATACTGTATTACACAGGTTGAAGCTGTGTTCCCAAGTCTAATCTCTGAAGTGTCTTCTGTGGCCCCCTTCTCTCTGAGGAGAGCTGATGTTGCGGTCACTAGCAGGTGGTCTTGGTGGAGCACCGGGGCTGCAGTTCCTCTGTGGACAGCTGCTGGCTCAGGCCCCGCAGGACACCTCTGCCTGGAGCCTGGTGCCCTGGGGCTGGGCGGAGTGTGGAAAACTGCCCACTAGGGTCCAGAGAACCGAGAAGAAGTGAGACCAGATCTCACTAGAGCTGGGCCTGCCTGGCGGCTCAGCCAGCTCCAGGGTGTCCCCATCCGGGAGGGCCCTGCAGTTGTGCCAGACTGCCCCGCAGCCCTGCCAGGCTGCCCCGCGGCCGTGCCAGGCTGCCCCGCGGCTGTGCCAGGCTGCCCCGGGGCCCTGCCAGGCAAACCCGTGGCCCTGCCCCGCAGCCCTGCCAGGCTGCCCCGGGGCCCTGTCAGGCTGCCCTGCGGCCTCCCTCTCAGAAGAGCTGTCTGGCAGTACCCTGGTCAGCCACCCTTCCACTCTGCCTCAGCCCCTTGTGACTGTCCTCTGCTTTTAGGGTGCCAAGGGCAACATGGGTGAGCCAGGAGAGCCTGGACAGAAGGGGCGACAGGTAAGGCTCCCACCC